AGCAAAGTAACCTACAAAGAACTATGTGTGTTCTCAGACGCATCAACCAAGGCCATTGGTGCAGTAGCATACTTGAGGGCAGTACGAGATGATGGTCAGGCAGAAGTGGGATTCATCATGGGAAAAGCAAAGCTTGCACCTCAGTCTGTGCCAACAATTCCAAGACTCGAACTATGCGCAGCTGTCTTAGCAGTAGAAATGGCAGACCTCATACAAGATGAACTCGACCTGGACCTGCATGCCATCAAGTTTTACACAGACAGCAAGGTAGTACTGGGCTACATCTGCAACGAATCTAAGCGATTCTATTTGTATGTCCACAACAGAGTCCAACGCATCCGCTTGTCATCAAAGCCTGAACAATGGCACTATGTACACACAGAGGAGAACCCTGCAGACCATGCATCAAGATCCTTACCTGCATCTCATCTTGCACAGACATCATGGTTCACTGGACCCTTATTTCTGAGTAAACCGCCTGTAGAGGAAACACAAACGAAGCAGACGCTTGAGCTAATTGAACCTGAAAAGGATGCAGAAATTCGACCAGAGATACAGACTTATGCCACTTTTTCAGACAGTTTGGTACTAACACCTGACCGCTTCCAACGCTTCTCCACCTTCACCTCTTTGGTAAGAGGGGTAGCATTCCTTGTCCACATTGCCAAGTCATACAACCACTCAGTTCAAAATTGCAAATGCAAAGGATGGCACAAATGTGACTCACCCCGCAGTCCAGATGAATTGGATCAAGCCAAGGATGTTATCCTAAAAGTGGCCCAACAGTCAGCCTTTGCAAATGAACTTTCAGCCCTTAGAACTAACAAATCAATACCCATCAGCAGCCCTTTGGGGAAGCTCAATCCAACCCTGGAGAACAACCTTATCATTGTTGGAGGTCGACTTAAGTACTCCAACCTCACCCCTGTGGAAAAGAACCCAATAATCTTACCAAAAGACAGCCACATCTCCCTACTGCTTACACGCTATCACCATGAAAGGGTGAAACACCAAGGTCGACACCTGACAGAAGGTGCTATCAGGGCTGCTGGTCTGTGGATTTTGGGACGCAAGCAACTTATCAATTCAGTACTCCACAAATGTGTGACCTGCCGCAAATTGCGTGGGAAACAGCAAGAACAACGCATGGCAGATCTTCCACCTGAACGCCTCAAAGTCTGCCCTCCCTTTACGTATGTGGGACTTGATGTCTTTGGTCCATGGTCCGTTACTACCAGACGCACCAGGGGAGGACAAGCAGAAAGCAAGAGGTGGGCCATTATGTTCAGCTGTATGAGTTCACGAGCAGTCCACATCGAGGTCATAGAGTCCATGGACACATCTAGTTGCATTAACGCACTCAGACGCTTCTTCGCACTTCGAGGCCCTGCAAAACAGCTAAAATCTGACTGTGGCACCAATTTCATTGGCACGAGCAAGGAGCTTGGTATGGACAAAACTATGCAAAGGTACCTCAGTGAGCAAGGATGCACCTGGGAATTCAACCCACCACACGCCTCTCATATGGGAGGCTCCTGGGAGAGAATGATTGGCATTGCCAGAAGAATCCTTGACTCAATGCTCCTACAGCAGAACACACAACTAACTCATGAAGTACTGTGCACCCTGATGGCAGAGGTTACAGCCATTATAAATGCACGGCCACTTACTCCTGTGTCTTCAGATCCAGAGAACCCCTTCATTCTCTCACCATCAATGCTCCTCACACAGAAAGTGGGAGTTTCTCCTCCTCTTGGGAATTTCTCAGACAAGGACTTGTACACTAAGCAATGGAGACAAGTTCAGGCCCTTGCAAACCAGTTTTGGACCCGCTGGAGAAAGGAGTACTTACACTTATTGCAACTAAGACAGAAATGGACGGCAGTTCGCAGAAACCTTCAAGTTGGAGATCTGGTTCTACTCAGGGACAAGCAGACTGCCCGCAACTGCTGGCCAATGGCCAGAATTACTGCCACATTCCCTGGAAATGATGGACATGTCAGGAAGGTTGAGTTGAAGATAACTGACCAAGGAAATCCAAAGACCTTCCTGAGACCTGTAGGAGAAGTTGTTCTACTTTTACCTAAGGACTGAAGTAAAAACTGAGTTTGTATTCTCATGTTCTTAGTGACCTCACATAGGTCAGGCAGGGAGTGTGTTGTCTCTAAGGCATTTGTTTAGCTAATTATTTGTTGAAGTTGTTGTTATCTATTTTGGTGAAGGGCCAGGTTAATAATTACATATGTAAAAGGAAATGATAACGCTAAATCTATTTACCGATTGGCACCAGGTGATGACGTCACTTCTGGTTTTAGCGATTTCACGCTAGTAAGAAAGATGGCAGACATAAGGCTCTTGTTCGCGGCATGTGTATTCATTTTCATCTGTTAGGAAACGTGATAGAAGCAATGCCGTAAGTTATGATATGTGTCAGTTGACATAGTATTGTTAACATTTGCTATGATTGTTTTAAAAAGAGTTAGATGTGATGTTATAGAAGAGTGGACAGTAAATGTTTTTGATCTTGCTACAACCTCTTCATTGACTACGGTTTAACTCGGTGTTAAAGTCAGAGTATCAACACCCTGCACAAGAACACTAAAGTAGTGTCTAGAACATTGTTACCATAGTTTTTATATATTATCTCTAGGAGCATGTTAAAGTCCTGTTGAGTATTTTACTGTTCATCACTTCTTCATTACCCGTTGTGTGTTGTTTTTTGTGTTGTTTTCACATGTGTGTCTGTCTCTGAACCTGGTGTGTCTAATTTTCAAATATAAAGCACTTTTTCAAACTATATTTTGTTTTACAACCTGAACAGATTCCATCAGGCAACAATATAACAGGAAACAAACTACTGGCTGTGAGAGGTAAGGAAGGGTGTCAACCTCTTCTATCAATTATCACCATGTGGTTTCCAAAGGTTTAAGCTGCACCCATCTATGATTCACTGTCCAGCTTTTCAAATTATAAGCAAAGCTTATCATACTTGAAGGTGATGTCCAAATGTGCTGCATGAGTTACATCAGATCATCCTTACTATCAAGGGACACCACCTTAATTTAGGACAAGAAGTCTTAACAGAACTAGGAAGGATGGGCCTTCCTGGAAATTTGACTGTTTATGGAAATTTGAGTTTTCCTTTTATAAAGATCTTTTTGACTAAAATTTGAGTCATCATATAAAATGCAAACACAGAACACAACTAGTACATCAAAATGTGGAAGCAAAAAAGAGAAATTAAATTACTGTGAAGTGTAAGTTGCACATCTTTTTTTAAGAAAACAAGCCTGGACAATAAAATGAAACATCCAATTCTTATAATACACATGGAAAAAGACAGAGTGCAAGGCCCACCATACCTAGAGAAGGCCCGACATAATGAGAGAGAGTGTGAGGCAAGAACACTCACCTGCAAATACTGCAAAATTACTTTCAAATTTAAAAAATAATCACCTTTATTTGGCCAAGTATGTTACACACAAGGAATTTGTTTCCGGTACAGAACCGAGGCAGCCATCTGCGGTGTCAACTCATACCGATGGCTCTGACCATCAGGGGCACTTTGGGGGTTCAGTGTGCCCAAGGACACTTTGACATATGGGCTGCAGGCAACATGAATCGAACCTCCGACCCTCCAGTTGGGAGACGAACGACCTACCCACTGAACCACAGTCGTCCCCAGACATCAAGATGATAGAGATTACAATAAGACTCCTGCTGGTTGTCTCAGTACACATAGACACATAATACATTTCTTATACTTATTTTGGCCCCATGACAAAATCTATCTGAAGTTTCCCTTACAATGCAAGGACTATGACAAGAGGACGATGTTTCTCTATACTGTACCTAAGCACAGAGCAGTTACTGAACAGGCTAAAGTTACATGTAGTATATTATTGGCTATAGAAGTTACAGTTAATTTACCATTATAATAAGAAGGCTGAATACTATAATCACACTCAGTGGTAAAAAGTTACTAAATACATTTACTTAAGTATTGTACTTAAGTACAGTTTTCAGGTATTTGTATTTTACTTGAGTGTTTCCATTTTCAGCTCCATACTTGGACTTCACTACATTTCAGAGGAAAATATGGTCCTGTATGTATCTGATAACTTTTGTTACTTTTCAAAATAAGATGAATAAAACAAAATGCACTATAATCATAAGACTTTATTGATTGTTATTCTAGCGAGCAGTATGTAAAATATTTGAATTATAAATATATAGCATATCAATATATATAGGCCTATATAGATTAAGTATACAGTATATGAAGTTTTAACATGATGCCCATACTAATGATTGCACTTATAGGTACACAAGCACTTCGACCGAACACAGTAAATATCAAAATATCTTCATCTCTGTAATCCTAAAATCTTAGCTTTTTTTTCAGAATTTGTTATGCTCAGTCACATGTTGATGAAAAAGACCTGTCCATGGTGTACCCCGCCTTCGCCCGATTGATGGCTGGGATTGGCTCCAGCATATGCATGTGCACCTAATGACCTCAAAGTCATCATTGTTTCTGACAGCCATGTTCCAGATGAACAGTTCATTAAGGCAGAGGAGCCAAACGGGCTGTTGCAGTATGGTTACAGATACAATTTTTCTAACGAACATGTTGAGATATTACTCTGGATCAGAAATAGATCCTGAAGGAGTGAGAAGACAAGCTGTGGAACCAGAAGTGGAGAAACAAGGAGAATGATTTATCTGCTGTTTCTGCTGATGAGTTTTTAGAGATAGTGTTTAAGATGAAGTTCATTGATGTAATGCTATATATACTGTAGCTTTAACTATACAGTCAGCAGTCTGATCCACTAAACTGGTGGAAATGTATTTGTATAATAATGTTTATGACCTTTTCTGCAACCAGCCACCAAGGGGCAATCAGTTCCTGGTGGCTTTGCTTCTTGCCATGTTATCCACCTCTATATAGCCTACAATCCCAAGATCCTTATTTCTGCTATCAAAGAATGAGGAGGCTGCTGGAAAAGCCATAAGCAAGGATACACAACAGTAGGTTTTTATGGACCAACACACCCTTTAATCAGAAATCAGTTGGTGATGGGACACATCCAATGAAGAAGCAGAGAAAAGGACATCTTGTGTGTTACCTCAGTTCCTCCCCCCTCACATTTTCCCCTTGCATCTTTTCCTCATGTCTTACATGGGTGGAGTTAAGACACAA